AGTATAACTCCAAAGAGTTCCAGAAGTTCTGTGAGGAAAATGGAATTGAGCATGAGGTTACTGCTCCTTATACCCCTCAACACAATGGTCTTGCTGAAAGAAGAAACCGCACTTTGCTTGATATGGTGAGAAGCATGCTAAAGGAGAAGAAGCTTCCTCAGAAGCTCTGGGGAGAAGCTGTTGCCACTGCAACGTATGTACTCAACAAATGTCCTACGAAGAAGTTGAAGGAAATAGTTCCAATACAGAAGTGGACTGGAGATAAGCAAAGTGTTAGTCATCTAAAGGTGTTTGGTTCTGTTTGCTATAAACATGTTCCAGAAGCCAGAAGACAGAAGCTGGATGATAGAAGCAAATTGATGATTCTGATAGGGTACCACAGTACTGGTGCTTACAAGCTCTATTGTCCAGAAACCAATAAAATTGAATTCAGCAGAGATGTGATTGTGAAGGAATCAGAAGTTTGGAATTGGGATAAATCTCAATCTGATTCTGATGTTAGAACTTCTGAAGAAAGGTCAGAGTTAAGAATTTCTGAAGTTGAAGTAAACTCTGACGTTGATTCTGACTCTGATGGTGATTCTGACTCTGGAGAAGACTCAGAAGATGAAGGTGACTCTGATGATCCAGACTCTGATGGTAATCCAGATTCTGGTGGAAATTCAGACTCAGAAGATGGCCAAGACTCTGAAAATATGTCAGATCTTGAAGATGGTCAAAGCTCTGGAGAAAGTTAATCATCTGAAGCCCAAGACTCTGAACAAGTTCAGAGACCACAAAGAATCAAAAGCGTTCCCAGAAGATTTGCAGAATTTGACATGCTGCAAGACACTGAAGTAGACTCTGAAGGAGAAGTTATTCAGTGTGCCATGTTAGTAGACTCTGAACCCATAAGTACAGAAGAGGCTCTTAAGCAGAAGCTCTGGCTGAAGGCCATGAAAGAAGAACTTGATGCTATAGAGAGAAACAAGACTTGGAAGCTGACAGAACTTCCAAAAGACAAGAAAGCCATCAGCGTCAGATGGGTTTTCAAGCAGAAGTTAAAGCCAGATGGCTCAATTGGCAAACATAAAGCAAGGTTGGTAGCCAGAGGATTTCTACAGAAACCTGGGCTGGATTATTCTGAAGTGTTTGCACCTGTAGCAAGACATGAAACAATCAGAATGGTGATTGCAATAGCTGCTAACAAGAATTGGCCTCTGATGCATTTAGATGTAAAATCTGCATTTCTGAATGGTCCATTAGAAGAAGAAGTTTACGTGTCACAACCTCCTGGATTTGTGAAAAAGAATCAGGAAGGGATGGTGTACAGATTATACAAAGCTCTATATGGACTGAAACAAGCGCCCAGAACTTGGAATCAGAAGATTGATTCATTTTTCAAGAAGCAAGGCTTTCAAAAATGTGAGATGGAGTACGGTGTCTATGTTCAGCATACTTCTGAAGGCAATATGACTCAGGTATGTTTATATGTTGATGATATACTATTGACTGGAAGTTCTGAACAGGAGATAGCCAAGTTCAAGAAAGTTCTGATGAATGAATTTGAAATGACTGATCTAGGCAAAATGACATACTTTCTAGGGATGGAGTTCAGATATTCTGAGAAAGGTATCATTTTGCATCAGCTCAAGTATGAATTAGAACTTCTGAAGAGATTTGATCTGAAGAATTGTTAGATGGTTGTCACACCTTCTGATACAAATCAGAAACTGGATTCAGACTCTGGAAGAAAGGATGAATCAGAACTTCTGAGTTATTCAGACTCTGATTGGTGTGGAGACAGAGTTGACAGAAAAAGTACCTCTGGGTACTTGTTCAAATTTCTGGGAGGTCCTATTTCTTGGTGTTCCAAGAAGCAACCTGTTGTGGCATTATCAACCTGTGAAGCTGAATACATTGCAGGTGCTGTTACTGCATGCCAAGCTGTGTGGATTCTGAATCTGTTGCAGGATCTGAAGATTAAAGTAAGCAAACCTCTGAAGTTGATGATTGACAACAAGTCTGCAATCAACCTTGCCAGAAACCCAGTGCTGCATGGGAGAAGCAAGCAGATTGAGACCAAGTATCATTTTCTGAGACATCAAGTTCAGAGTGGAGTGTTAGAAGTTGTACACTGCAGCACTCAGAAGCAGTTGGCAGATGTTCTGACGAAAGCTATCAAGACTGATCAATTTCTCAGATTAAGGGATGGAATTGGTGTTACAAGTTTTGATGGAATATGAATTAAGGGATTGTATTAGTAATAATTCATATTTTATTATATTACTTTCTTAAGCCCATAAGTTTGTTAGAGGGTATTTTAGTATTTATCTTATTCTAGTAACCCTAGTTTTAGCTTATAAATAGGGTGACAATCATTGTAACCAAATATCATGTTTTTCTGCCGTCATTCTTAATAGAATATTTCTACCTTTCATCATTTATTCTACCTTTGCACCAACATTATTAATCTGTTTTAGAAAAAATATTTATAAAATAGGTATAATTATAGTTTTGATCTCTCTATTTTATCTGATTCATGAAATTGATTCCTCTATTTTAAATTTAAATAGTTTTGATCCCCTTATTTTAGATTTAAACAGATTTTGGTCCTGTCTCATACTTTTGTACTTAAAACTAATGATGTTTTCATTTTTTAAATGACAAATTACTTGTAAAATATGACAAACAACTGTATATAAACCTATTATTAAACTTTATACATAAAAATATAAATTAAAAAAGAAAAAATCTCATTGATTTTCTATGAAAAACATGAGAAGGGGGTTAAAATGTTTGAATTTAAAATAGAGGATTAAAACTGTTTAAATTTTACATAGGGGGACCAATTTTGTGAATTAGATCAAATAGGAGGACCAAAACTATAACTTAACCTAAAGTATTCTAATTTAATTTTAATTTTTTAAAATACTTTTTAACATAATAATTTATAATATGATTAAATATGTTTGCATTTCTCGTAAATATCTCAAATTTCATTTTTAATTTTTTAAAAAAATTTCTTTAAAAAATGGTCATCTTAACATTTTTCATCCACTATTTTGATTCTTAATACTAAATTTGTCACTAAAACTATCGCTAAGTATCAAATTGTTGCTAAAATCATCGCTAATTATGTCACTAAGATGTAAAAATTGTCGATACATTTTAGGAGAGATAAAAAATGTGGATAAAAATTTTAAAAGAATCATTTTTAAAAAAAAAATATTTTTAAAGACTAAAAAAAAATTAAAATATTTAAGAGAACCTAAAACATATTTATAAATATCAGTGGCTGTCACAATTGCAATGTCTCTGTCTTAAATAAGGATGACATATATGCAAAGTGGAAAAAGAAAATCTCAAAATAAAATAAGGGTAATGTTAATATGTACTTACAAATAAAAAAATTATATTAAAAAACACAATAAAAATTTAACTATCAAGTTTTAAAATCAATGCACAATTTTAAAAAAAAAATTCTACATTTAACTTTTAATGTATGCTTTTAAAGCATATGTTAACATTATTTATAAAATAAAATCGAAGACCAAATAATTAAAATAGGAGGATAAAAATAATAATAATTTCTAAATAGAAGATTAAAGTATATTTAAATTTTTAAAAAATGGTTTTTATTAGAAAAATTTTAGGGGCATGTCAAAGAGTGTTGGACCAAAACACAGAATAAATTTAAACTTGTTGATTAAAAAGCTAATTTTTAAATTGAAAAATCAAAATCTCATTTAAAAAATCAAGTATACATTTAAGTCTTTTAAATATAATAAACCATTACATCTAGATAACGGACATTTAATTCTTTTAAATATGATAAACCATTATATTTGTGGTGATATTTGAACATACTTTCAGACGAAAAATATCATCCGATAATTTAGTCTTAAATATATTTTTAATCCTAAATATAGTTTGTATTCATCTTTTTAAAAAAAAATTATATTTAATCCTCAACTTTTCTATGTTCTTTCCATCACCAATTTTATAGACGGTAACAACTCTTGTATTCCTCCTCTTTGCTTTGCAGTTTATATGAACAAATTTAATATGAGATTTCAATAAAATTGTCCTTAAAATATTTATAAAAAAAATATTAAATTGTCCACTTAGACACTAATATGTCAACAAAATCGAGTGAGAGATCGAAAATTTAAAAAAAAGTTAAAATTAACATTAAAAAATTGGTTGTTAAAGTTGCATGATGAGCTCTTTATTTATTTTAAAAAGAATTGGAGAACAAAAATGCATTTATACATATTTTATTGATAATAATATTTGTTTTGGTTACATTTATTAATAATAATATAAAGACATACTAAAATAATATATTTAATTTAAATATAAAATATTATATTAAAAAATAATATTAGTCAGTAAAAATTAGTAATAATGTTTAAAAGATATTAATTTAAAAACCAATCAAAATTAATGAATATAATATATAATACTAATGACAAATATTAAAATATCTTTTTTTTGGTACAAACTAAAATATCTATTTAATTCATTCAATTTTGAAAAATCAATTTTAGATTTGATTCAAACGAAGAACGTTAAAACTCATCAATAATATCTATATTTATGTGTATTTCAAAGTTTTAGATCGTTTTAATCTGAACAACTCAAAACCAAATTTACATAAACTTTTTTTTCTTACCAAAAAAAGTATTAAAGTGAAAATTATAGTGACAGGAGGGAAAAAACAAATTGTTTAAAGTGAATGTTAGAAGAAAAAAAAAGAAGAAAAGAAGAGAAAGTAAAGTATATAAACATTTTCTCCTCTTTTCAGACAAAACAAAGAACCATCAAGAGTTAGCAAGTAACAAAAACACAACACTCACATCACAATCAAAGAGGTTAAAATTCCAACCACCGTACCACGTCATCATCACTACCTTCTTAATCTTAAACATTGCGTGAAGATATTACTACGTTGTTTGTTTGTTGGATTTGTTAACGTGACGTTGACCTTTCTTTCTTTTGTTTAGAGACACACAAAAATGGGTAATTCTTTCGGATGCTCCGCTTCCGGTGAGAGGCTTGTGTCGGCGGCGAGAGACGGTGACCTTGTGGAGGCTAAGATGCTCTTGAACTGTAATCCTTGTCTTGCTAAATACTCTACGTTTGGGGGGCTTAATTCTCCTCTTCATTTTGCGTCTGCAAAGGGTCATAACGAGGTTTCATGATTCACATCACTCTTTTGTGTTTTTTTTTAAAGTTTGTTTATTTATTTGTTTTTGTGTTTTGGGTTTTGGTTAGATTGTTGCATTGTTGCTTGAGAATGGAGCTGATGTTAATTCAAAAAATTATTCTGGACAGGTATCTCTCTTTCTATGTCCCTCCTTTTGATTTGAAACTAAAATTGTAGTGTCATATGATTATTCTAGTGAATGAAATGGTTACAATTAGTGGAATTGGAATATACATTTTTCATTTTTTTGGTATGATTATATTCTGTGCAATTACTGTTTGATTGTGTGATATGATAAGCTAGCAATCAGATCAATGGATCTGACACCAATTTAACAGATGTCAGTACTCAGTATCATAACATGAAGTTAAATTTATTAGATGTATGAGATTTTCACCTACTGACATCTCTGAAAATAGGTGTGTCTGTGCGGGCATCAATACGACACCGATACTTGTGATTATGTTCAATTTATTCATTTTTTTTAATTATTATCATTGTCGACGTGTCTGTTTGTGTTTGTGTTTCATAGAATATGTGTATGTATGGTTTAATTTGAATTTTGAAGACGGCGTTGATGCAAGCTTGTAGATATGGTCATTGGGAAGTTGTACAGACACTTCTACTCTTCAGATGCAATGTGAGTTGTGTTAATTTTTTTCTTCTTTTTTCATGATGAAAGTTCGGTTTTCAAAATCACTAGAGTTTAGACTATGTGATGTGATAATAGGTTATGAGAGGAGATTATCTCAGTGGGAGAACAGCTCTTCACTTTGCAGCAATGAACGGCCATGTAAGATGTATTAGACTTGTTGTGGCCGATTTTGTTCCGAGTGCGCCTTATGAAGCTTTACGTGCTCGCTCAAATGCTGGCAATGGTGGTGGATCAAATGTGAGAAGCAAAAATGAAGAAAGGTACACCTTACCCTTTCATTATATTGTGGGAAATGGTGTGATTGTTCTTTCCTGTAGTTTAAGGCCCGAATTTACTATAGTTTTTATTCGTCTAGGTTTTATTCTAGCAGTTTATTTACTTTGTTCCAGTGCAGTGCTCTGTCGAAGTTTGTAAATAAGACAGCAGATGGTGGTATCACTGCCCTACATATGGCTTCGTTAAATGGTTACTTTGATTGTGTGCAACTGCTACTTGATCTTGATGCAAATATGTCTTCTGTGACATTTCATTACGGAACATCAATGGATTTAATCGGTACGTCTTTTGTTTTATATGCTAAAACACCACACATTGTCTTCAACCTTCAACTTAATTAATGTAATTTGATGTAGGGGCTGGAAGCTCTCCTTTGCATTATGCTGCTTGTGGGGGTAATTTAAAATGCTGTCAGGTAAGAATTGCTTCAGATTTAGGGCATGTTTGGATAGAAGTAACTTATATAAGCGCTTATAATTTAAAAGGGGCTTAATGCATGATATACATTCTGGCTCTTTCCTTTGAATCCTACAGTAATGTTTTTCTTTTACAGGTTCTCCTTGCAAGAGGTGCAAGTCGAATGTCTTTGAATTGCAACGGGTGATTTATTTTCAAAGGCTATTTTAGTGCAAACTTTCGATGGCCTAATTACACATCAATACTAATTTGATTACCGTCTTCCTCCCATAGGTGGCTGCCGCTTGATATTGCTCGGATGTGGGGCCGTCATTGGCTTGAACTGTTGTTGGCACCCAGTTCTGATGCCTTAACACCCACATTCCCTCATTCAAATTACTTGTCCTTGCCACTCATGAGTGCTCTCAACATAGCAAGGTATTTTTAATCCTAGTCTAGGGATATTTTCTAGTGAAGAACACACGTTTGTTGAAAATATTTAAAATAACTGCAGAGAGTATGGATTGCAATCCTCTACAACTTCCTCTGATGAGATTGACTTTTGTGCCGTATGCCTGGAGAAGCCATGTTCGGTGGCAGCAGAAGGTACTTGTTTCTCTACCTTTTGAATATCTGCTTGTTTGCTTGCCTTCTTCTGCATGTGAGTAGCGATGCCTAACCTAAAGAAGCGCTTGATTATTGCAATCTGAAAAGCTTAATCGACTATGCATAACAGTGTAAGTAGTTAATGGTGCTAGATTTTATTACATACAGGATGTGGACATGAACTTTGTGTCAGATGTGCACTCTATCTTTGCTCGTCGAGCAATGTTTCTTCTGAAACCGTTGGCCCTCCGGGCTCTATCCCTTGCCCGCTTTGTAGACACGGAATCGTCTCATTTGTCAAGTTGCCAGGTTCCCAAGCAAAAGAAAATAAATTACACGTGTCTCTTGGACTCTGCACGCCGTGCATGCTACATCCACGTGACGTAGATCAGCCGTCTCTTTCTCAGGCATCAGAGACCCAAAGAAACTGTGTCGACTCTGTTCCTTCAGAGTTACTCTGCCCTATCACATGTAGTCCGTTTCCATCTATGACAATACCTATGTGCACCTGCAACGACGGTTCATGTCCATCATTCGAACCACGCAACATAGAAGCACAAGACGAACCGCCTCGTCACTCCCAAGCATCAACAACGGATCATGATAAACTCGAAGGCCCGAGACTGGATAAAACAACTTGCTCAAACATGCTATGGGGTAGAAGAAGTTACAGCAGGGAGAACCAATGCAATTCAGAAATAAATGCTTGAACCGGTTTGTGCATGTACAGATATTGGTTACATTTTTCAATCAACAGAGCTGTCTGTCTGCAGTTTTTCTTACAAGCCAGCCTCAAATGGTGGAACTCGGTTGATATATCAGAAAGCCGGAAAAACTCTTAGGTAGAATTCTCTGGTATTTCAGCTACTCTATTAGATTTTTTTACAATGCCACTCTTTGAAATAGTAAGTACCAAAATGCCATATATTAAAAAAAAATACCAAAATACTACTATTTTAGTATGAGTTCGCCCAATGAAAGGACAAATCATTGAAGTATTTTTTAGCCATGCATGGCCAATGGTTGGCCGAACCATTGAAGCATTAAAAAAAAAGGTTATTCAATGGTTCGGCCAACCATGGGTCGAGCCCATGCATGACTAAAAAATACTTCAATGGTTTGTCCTTTCATTGGCCGAACCCATATTAAAATAGTGGTATTTTAGTGTTTTTTTTCAATATGTGGCATTTTGGTACTTACTATTTCAAAGAGTGGCATTATTGTAAAACAATCACTCTATTACCATCTGCATGCCATCTTAAGAGAACATGTGTGAAATTAGTTTAAGTTATGGGAGATTGTGATTGTGAATTTGTGATATATTGTTTTTGGATTTTTATTTTATCAGAGAAATATGTCTTTTTTAGACTAGAAAGTTTTATATATATATATATATATATATATATATATATATATATATATATATATATATATATATATATATATATATATATATATATATATATATATATATATATATATATATATATATAGATTAGGAGTTATCTGTATATTATGAAATTATAAATATCTTTTTTGGACTAGAAGGTTTATTTATCTTATCAATATTCACATTTTTTATTTTATTTATTTGTTATCATGTTGGTGGTTGAATTAATCGAAACAATTAAACAATAGGTATGGAGGTTTTACAAGTAATTTTCTTATCCAATTTTTAAATTATTGATTTCACATTTAGTGTTTGTTTTTGAATATTTTAAGATCTGGGTTTGCATTTACTAGTTTACATTATTTAGTTGGTCACTATCTTGATAGTTGGTTAGGTTGGTAACCTAACAATGAGAGCTTTAAACATAAAGAAACTAAATTAGACAACACACACCCACTCACAATATTACTCAATACCTGAAATTTGGTAGAAAAACTAGCATAGAAACAAATGATATTTTTTTAGAAAAATTGTTTATTTGTATGTCAACCACTTTTTGTTTTTGTTTTATAATTAACACATACCTATAAATAATATAAGTTAGATTTTTTTTTACCGCGGTGGCACTGTTTGAAATAGTAATTACTAAAATGTCATATGCCACCATTTCAGGAAGGGTTCGGCCAATAAAAGAATGAGTCATTGAAGTGTTTTTTAGTCGTGTTTTTTAGTCGTGCATGGGTTTGGTCAATCAGTGAATAAAATTTAAAATTAAGAATTTGTGCATCAGTAATAAAAAAAAATAAAAAGAGAAATTATTTAATGGTTCGACCAATCATTGATTGAACCCATGTTTATTGGCCGATCCATTCTGAAATGGTGGCATTCTAGTATTTTTTTTTAACATATGACATTTTGGTACTTACTGTTTTAAATAGTAAAAAATTCATATAAATAATGCTAAAAACTTTTTAAAACTTTAGACACCATGAAGCTACATTATTAATAAAACTAAATAAAAGAATTTTAGAATTCCTCATTGAATTACATGACATCCCATATTTCAATAATACTCGAGTTGTTTTTATGGGAAATTATGAACAAAAATTTGGACGAAATATTTTGTAGTTGAAATAAAAAATTCCATACTAACCAAAATATTGTTAGTGTAAACGAAGTATGTGTTGCATCGGATATTTGAAAATATCTAAACTAATTGTGTAGTATCAGTTTCTTTTTTCTTTCTTTTTTTTTTTAATTTAGAAACTACTGGATATTTAGTTCATTTTTTAAAAAAACTCAGTAGTTATAAAAGAGTATGTAATATAACGATTATCATTTTGCCGACATTTTTATATGGTTGTGATTGTCCCAACCGTATTGTGTGGTCTATAATGACTCCAAAGTTGTATAAATAAGGGTCATGTGTTGCTTGCAAATAACATCATACAATGTCTTTTTCTCAGTGGTTGTTTAAGTGTACTTCAACGAGATGAAAATTCTCGTAGAGTTTCGGCTTCTGGAAGGTGCCACATGGCTCGCCCCCTTTACATACAAGCTAAATGAATTGATGTCGGACACTGATAACAGAAAGGTGTGAAAGATCGAGTTTCATGAAGATTGGATTGATACTGATGGTAGTATACAACCTTATTGAGTTGAAGATCGATGAAGATATGAAAGCTATGTGGAAATCATATCACCGTAGGCAAACTAAGGGACCGATTGAGTTTGATGCGACAATCTCTAGATTTGTGGACGACATAATCAAGATGTTGAAACGTCCAGAATCATATGGTAGTGTCTAGGTTTTCATGTTCCTTATTGTTCTTTTATGTTCGTTGTAATGCATTAAGTTATGTTCATCTTCCAAACATGTAATCGGCAAAATATTATGTGATAAAAAATACGGTGCTAAATAGTCTGAGTCATAAAATATACAAATAATACAAATCTAAAATCAAATATTTAAACAGGCCCCCACAGGCTATCTGCATTGTCTGTGCTGCCAAACTATAAACCTCACCATATGGGTTCACCAAACCCATGAGGGTATCCATAATGACTTCTATCATCAGCCATCGTTGAGCTTCATCTATACCCTGTAGAGATGGTGGAGGCGGCGTCGTGTCATCAGAAGGTACCCCAGCATCATCATGAAAAGAACTATCATGTGAAGATCCAACATGAGAAGGTCTAACATCATCTCGACCTTGCCTAGGGGGATGATGCGATGGTGTGATACAATAAGATTCCAATCTAAATACCATCCACACACTTTGCAGGGAACTGGACCTCCGCTGCACAATCTTGAATGGCACTTGTAGAACTCATAATGTTACCACGAAACCAACTATCAATGCCCTCAGATGGAATAGTGGGGAATGGTCGTGGGATGTCCTATACATATCCATATTGGCGCATGCGCCTCTCAAGTAAGTGTCTAGCCATTAACCCCTCCCATCATAGGTAACCAGAAAAAAGTATAGCATCGTTGACCTCCTCATCCACTCTATGGCTTAAGTAGGGTTCCTAGCTGATATCATCTACTGTCACTGCATTAATATTCCTCTTGTACTCGACAACACCTCCCAGATGTGCATGTTTGCTCCTCCATCTCTTGGCTTGTGGGAACCCGACAGTGGTAGCAACAACCCGTCTTTCACAAATTGACGGAAAATGCTCGTATATCCAACAATATACACAATAACAAAGGCTCATATAACCAGAAATAATATCATAAATAGAACTAACATAATAAGTAATAATAATTTTGTTATTCCTAAAACAAACTCATATAACCGACAAGTTGTCTTGTCTTAAAAATAGTCGTCTCTCCAAGCGCAGCATATAGAACCGTCAATGCATCACACCCCAATCCCAAGCTGCAATGCTCAAGGTTGTTAAATAGCTACATGTACTTCGCATTGATGTAAACATGAGACTTATCCTCTAAGATGATACATTCTATGAGATTGAGCATGTATACCCTAGCGGTTGCCTCATGCATACCTCGATGCATTAGCTCACCATACATATCCCACAGCTAAGATATGTGAAAGTAAGCACCCTCATATACTTAAATTCCTTAATCACACTCTCATAAGGAGGAGTAACCTTCATATCATCAATAGGTGGCGCCTTGGTTGTCTTCATAGTGACCCCTACAGTAATTGTTGCCTCTTCCTCATAAGGATTAGACACCTCTACCATCTAAAGAGTATGAGTAACCTCTATCATCTGTCGGATTTGGCACATATGTCTCTGTCTCTGCTGGACGATGCACATCAACTGGCTCATCCTTAACATCTCTCGTTCATACATAAGAAAATTGAGATCTTTTACGTTGGTTAGTGCGGGGTGCACGAAACTGAGCCTGATCGACCAGCCGCCTCCTGTGAGAACTGGTCGGTGTTACTCTCCCTACCCTGATGTGCGGCAAAAATGCATTCATTTTTTTTTTTGGATTTTTGAAATGCCTAATAAAAATGCATCCATTTTTCCTAATATTTTAAAATGTGGGGTAAAATGCATCAATTTTTCCATTTTTTTTGAAAAATATGGAATATTATATGCAATTTGATTGGATATTACAAAAAATTAGGTTGAATGTAAGCATTTTTACGGGCCATTTCAAAAAATTTAGAAAAATGGATGCATTTTTACCGCACATTTTGAAAAATCCAGAAAAAATGTAAAACAAATCCGAAAAAATACTTAAAACTTCGGTAAAAAAATCATACTTACTCGTCATCAAACTCAAATTATTTGGTAGTGTATATGAAATGTACGAAAATTTACATAGGTTTTGTAAAAAATCAAATTTCTCTAATAGTTTTTGTCAAAAGAGATGTAATTTTGTTCAGCGCTAATATGGTAAAAATATAGGTGGTGTGGGGGGTACCAAGTACAATTTAAGGGGGAAGGAGGTGGGGGAGTGGCAGAAAGATTCCTCCATGGGCCACGTATTAGAAGTTTTATGCTCCCCCCCCCCCCCCCCCCCCCCCCCCGGTTATACCTCTCAACCCCATATTTTTTCAAAATGATAAATATCTCCTTCGCATTTTTACCTTTCAAATTTTAAAATTCTGTAAAAAAAAAATGGTCTCTCTAAAATACGCTATTAATCAAAAATTCGAGAGTTATTTTCAAATATCTTATACGACCATTTTTGCAAGAGGGGGTTTTTATCGAAAATTAAAAAATCCAGTAAGAGTTTTTACTAGTTTTTTTGATAAAAATTTGGAATTTTCTTGAAGTTTTACCTGATATATTAGAAAAATCCAAAATTTCTTGAAGTTTTACCGGATATTTATGAAA